GGATCCAATTGCTTTTAGGTATATACCACTAGATTAAGCTCCGTTTGCGCTTTTTCTAGTATATTTTAAAGTTTAATTCTGAATATTTTTGACGCCAAAGCGAAAAAAAAATCCACCCCTCCATAAAGTGAGAGTTCAAATGGTCAGGTATTGGCAAAATTGGCGGGAAATTTGCTCACAAAAAACTCGTGCTGACGCAACGTAAGTAGAGCTTCCAAACTAGCTCAACCACGCTTCCGTTGGAGCTGTACGACCAAAGCTATCGCCGATTTAAAGAGCTGTTAATTCTTTTTCGGACCAGACGAGTACGTAAAAAAATGAATATGGAACAACCAAACACACGAGGTTTTCTTAAAAAAAACTCTTTAAACTCCTCAAAGAACCGGAGAAGTCATTTAAATAGATTAATCATACTACTATGAGCTTAAACTAGCAGTAGATAGAGATAGAATTGGTAAGCGTTACCAGATACTTGTAATGTGCCTTTCCAAAGTTTTGGCCAATCTGACCTTTAAAGGCTGGTCCCAAGCAAGGGTGGGTAGGGCTAAAGGTGGGCGAACTGGAGTTGAATTACTAACTAAATAAAATGATATTTGACCAATAACACTGTTTGATTTTGCCGACTATGATCCAATAGCACTTGATTGTGGAGGTCCTACATAAGGGCTCCGATTTGGTCTAAAGGGTACCTTTTAGCAAATTCTTCATTAAAAAGGTTGCAATCATTTCATATCGGAAGACGAGATGAGTTTATTCTGCGAGATTACCAATGAGGTCGTGCCATTATGTGTTAAATGATTCTACAAGAGCTCCATTATTAAACGAAAGATATTTTTCTATCTTATCCGCAGCCGTATGAGTGACCATCATTGTGACGGAGTTACAAGCGACATCGTCTTCCGATATGAAATGATTGCAACCTTTTTGATGAAGTTATGAATGTAAAAGGTGCTTTGGTTTAAGAATGCAGACCTCCGTTTAGATCGTAACAACTCTGGATTAAAATCCAGAGAATTTAGCCTTTTATTAAAAGCTACCGAACCTTTTAGCTACCTTTTTAGCCCTTAGCCTAATGTCGCCGCTTGCCGGTGCATGAGTCGCACGATGCGGACGAGAGATGATCGTCTGTTGTGATGGCAGACTTTAAAACTGACGTACTGTTTTTGCTCTGGTATTTCACTGTGAGCCGGTCATTTGGAAAAACCGCAAACGGTTGTAGCTGTTTGAAGTCGATAGAGATAAATCAAGGTCCGTGTTCTCTGTCGATAGCCTGTATTGATATCCCCAATTGTAATTCCTTCAAATATAGTTTTTGAGAGGGGCCAGCTTACAAACTTAAAATGAGCTAGCCTCGATCCTCTAATTAGTGAATAAAAAGCTAAAATAATGTGTATTGTTATTCAGAGGTACTTAACTATTGATTATGTTTGTTCTATCTAGGACGATCGAAGAATGATAATAGTGGGATCTGCTATTATCTTCTTGATTTTCCCACAAAAAGTGATGGTAAACGTTCAGATCCATCCGCATTGCATGTAAATACAATCGTTTTTTTTTTAGAGTATTTCATGCCAGCTAGTGACCCATTTTGTGCGCTCGGAGTCCAACTCGGTAAGGCAAACCGAGCGGTGCGACTTTGTGGTCAGAGTTTGCAATGCTATGGCTTCGACTATGCGTTCCTGCTTCAGGATGCTTCTAATCGTTGCCTGTCTTAAAGAGCGCTGTGTATGAGACACGTTTTGAGCTCACAAATCAAGCTGGAAGTAGCGAGGGTGCGGTTCGTTAACTACGAAGTGGCTCGACTGGTGTCGGCTTGCGGTGGCATTTATCAATTTCCTCCCAACAGGTTAATGACAAATGCACATCGACGACTAATGTGCGCATCTACAGATACATGTAGATTAGAGTACGCGTAGGAATACGTAAAGTATGTGTGTACTAAAATTCGGAAACGTGTATCTTGCACACAAAGCTCCTTCAACCAGGTAGGATTTCAGCTATGGATAAGATGTTGAAGGTGTCGACATGCTTCATCTATAAGTAGGTTATCTGAAGCGCGCTTGAGTATTGCGGGATAGCACATTTAAAGACGACTTTGTTCACTTATAGCGAGCTTCACCAAGATGTCTATACCATGGTGTTTACTCTCCGAAGCGCCATTCTTCGATCTGCTCTGCCCAATACCTTACAGTACAAGTCTACCCTTCTTCCAGCGCCATCTTACGACAACGTGTTCATCAATGGTATCTCCGCCGTCCAGTTTCATTAACGCGATCGACACGATGTTATCCGCCAGAAGAACACCCGACCCTCTGCAGTTCGACATCAACTCATACTTGTCAAAATCAGGCGTCAAGAAAGGCAAGTGTCGCGTTTGTCGACGCGATGTTCCGTGGGCGCGAGAGCGCGTCATTTCACACAAGGTCTCAAACAACTGTGAAGGGATAAGTGAAAACGAAAAAGGCCTGTTCATGGACCTGAAACATCTTCGTGCCGGCAGAGTTGTTGTGTCGGTTGGCACCAAGCGTGCTACAACTCACGTTCGTCCTGCGAGTCCGCATAAGAAACGCCTCTTCCTCCAGACGACGGCTAATTTTCTGGACGCCATCTCAAAAGCTGATGCCGCTCATATTGACGCTGCAATTGCAGATCTGGTATTCCGTACTGGGATTCCATTTCGAGTCATAGATTCGAAGCCATGAAGAAAGTCATTTGACTTCTACGGCCATCCTACGTTGAAATCATGCCATCGGCGCGTTCGATTGCTGGAAAACATCTCAATTCGACCTACAACAAACTGTTGTCGCGTGTAAGAGAAGCCATTCGGTCAGCAAAGTGGTTCTCAATTGTCAGCGATGGGTGGTCAAACGACTCAAACGAGCATATCGTTAATTACGTCGTCATTGTTCCAGGCTTCAAGCCATTTTTCCTGAAATCAGTAAGCACAGGTGGAGTTGTGCAAACCTCGAAGAACATAGCTGCCGGTATTTTGGAAGTGATAGAGGAATTTGGTCCAGATCGCTGTCTCTCGGTGGTCACTGACAACGCCCCCAACATGCGCGGAGCGTGGGCAATTATTGAGAAGAAATACCCAACGATCTTTGCCAATGGATGCGGTGCTCATGTCTTAAATCTATTGATTAAAGACGTGTGTAAAATCCCTGAGTTCGCCGCTGTCCTTGCCGACTTGAACGTCCTGGTCAAGTTTGTCAACGACCACAAGTTGGTCGTCGCTGAGTTCAAGAGACTCCGTGACGTTTTGACTATTCAAAAAGGTCGCACTTTACCTTGCCCGACGAGGTGGTATACCCACTTCAATGCTTGTGAAAACCTGTACAAGGCGAAGCTGGCTGTTCGCAATCTTGCAGAGCCAGGCTGTGATCACATTCTCAAAGAAATACAGAACAAGGATACCGTGAACACATTCCGACGGATTGCCAACTCGGGCGCATTCTGGCGCAAGCTGTTGCAGTTAAAAAGGTTACTCAGTTTTCCGTCGAAGCAGATTGGAAAGCTCGAAAAGGATGGAAGAGATCTCTTTCAAGTGTACTACTGCTTCATCCGTCTAAAAGATACATGGGTTACAAAGGCGTCGCTCTGGCATGGCGATGATATCGGAATTCGTTTGAAGGACATCGTCCTTAAACGCTGGTGCTTCGTGCATACCTTTTCGATGGGGTGTGCATATCTTCTCACACCCAAATCCCAGACCATGACGTGGGACGCAACAGACAAGATGGACACGACAGAGCAGTTGCGCGACTACATACCATTGTTTTACACGAATCCAAATCTGGAGAAAACCTGCAACGATGAGCTATCCGCATACATTCTTCTCGAGCTCAACTCCCCGAGCGACCTTTACGAAAAGTACACGAGGTTGCCAGGACTGGAGTACTGGGTCCATTGCGGACGCATGATGTTTCCATTGCTGGCGCCAATTGCCATCAAAGTTTTGAGTGTACCAACGTCCTCGGCTGCTGCAGAACGAGTGTGGAGTGTGTACTCCTTTCTGTGGTCGAAGCGACGGAACCGAATGAATGCTGTCACAATGGAAAAGCTGGCGTTCAACTACATCAACAGCAGCCTACTCGACTCAGTGGACACGTACGACTACTTTGGTGAAGAACTGGATGATATCGACTTGTTCGACGATACTAGCGACCTGGATTCCATTCCAGATCAGTTAGATGTTCAGGATGCCGATAGCGAAGATGATGATCTTTGATAATATGTCAGAGGTTGTTGCATGTTGTATGCCTACAGTTGAAAAGTGTGTATCTACTGTATGTATCTGTGTACCAAACTTTATCTACACGTATCTTGCACACACTATCGACGACAGATCTCCGCCACACACCGACAATCCATCATTGAGCCAGGAGTTTAATTGATTGTACCGTATATTGGGTACAGCTCCGAATTGTAATTTCTCTATATAGTAATACAGTGCGGCCTCCCGACCGGATCGTCTGTACAGTACCAGTACTAGTATTGCTGCTTCTTAATAAGAGCTTGATCGAAAGAGTTCAGGGTAAGGTGTCAAGTGCTCAACCGAGTCCGTTGCGGAGCCACAACTTGTGTGGCTCACAAGTGATCGCACAATCGCTAAGTACCGGTTTTGATACATGTCCATAATTTGCTTGCGAACACGGTATTTTTATGTCAGCATTAAGCTGTGGGGTACAAAATGCCTCACTTCTTCACTGAAGAGTCTGCAGCAATGTGATTCTACAAGTCTGGCTTTCTCTCACAAAAGAAGGCTCTGATTGCCGGCAGTACGTAATCACCGAAGCACAAGATCGTGATCTTCCGCTGTCCCAGCTGGGAACCCAGTGAATGTTGCGCTAGTATGGACCAACACTCCTTTAATGTGTATTGAGGCACACGCGACATCGCATTTCGTCTTGTAATGATTGCAGTATATTGTGATATAATATTAAGTTTCCGTGTGCTATCATTTCAAAATTCAGACCTCCAGTCAGATTGCCATAACGACAATGCCGTGCGGTGCACGGGAAGCTCTGGATTTAGTGTACTTTTATACTGGGAATACCGAATAGAATGAGGGATGGACGGCCCCAACGGATTAATTCCACGGTACTGCGTAGCGTAAAGTTTTACAAGCCTCCACAGTTCCCGAAGCTAGTGCAGAGTACGCAACATGCCGTCAACTTGCTGTCGTGACGCTCTGTCAGGCTATCAATAAACTGGATCGATATTCCAGGTCGACAGCGAACCGTATCGTGTCTGGTCTTACGCGAATTGCAGCACCCTGTCGTGAGGATATCCACCCAATAGCGAATGAACTAATGGAGCCTCTGCTTCCTGCAATGCTAGACGGATCTCAATGGGGCAAGTTCCTGCGTCTTCGTACTGAAGCTATCGCCACTGTGCTCGTTGGTTGTGCTGAGAGTGATGACTTCCGGGTACGTGTGCTGTATTTTGTGTCTTGAAATGGCTAAACTAACCAATGTTTTGCACTGTACCAGGTGGAAAATCATCCGTGGATCAGCGACTTCATCAGTTTCCTCCTGGATCCCGTGGTTTCGTCCGAGAATGTGCATTCGTTCCTGATTCTCTGTGGATTAATAGTTTCGTGGGAGCTTGGGGGAAGGGAAGAAAACGAAACTAGAATAGTGACAGATGAGTGCCTGGGAACCCAGTGAATGTTGCGCTAGTATGGACCAACACTCCTTTAATGTGTATTGAGGCACACGCGACATCGCATTTCGTCTTGTAATGATTGCAGTATATTGTGATATAATATTAAGTTTCCGTTTCAACATTCAGACCTCGCAGTCAGATTGCCATAACAACTCTGGATTAAAATCCAGAGAACTCTGGATTTAAAATCCAGAGAATAAAAATTCTTATGACCTCCGACCGTAACATAAAATGTGGTTTTAGCCAAAAATACTGCATGTACTTGTTAAAATTTATGCATTTTATTTTAAATATTTGCCATTTTATTTTAAGTTTAAAAAAGAGTGAAAGAGGGAAAGAAGGTTGGGACGGCGAGTGAGTGGAGTGGCGGCAATGGTGGCGACGGTGGCGAGCTAGAGTGGAAGAAGCGTGAGGGGGCAGAGTGAATGAGGTGGTGAGCAAGGGTGGCGACGTCCGCGACAGTAGAAGGGCGGCATGCGGGTGGCGGATACTGCAGCAACGGTAACAGCGGGGAGGCGGCAGTGGGTGGATGGTGTGGAGAGCCGGGAAGGTGAGGAAAGCACTGCTGGCGATAATCGAGCTGGACGTGGACTGCGCGTTGTTTGACAGCGCTGCCGTGTGGTCGGCGTTCTGTTTCGTGGACGCGGAAGTTCGGGCGTTTGCGCAAGTGTCACGATGTTCCCGCTGCTCCGAGCTTATTTAGATGCAAAAGACCGGCTTTTCATTCTACCACTCAACTCACCGACTACGGCACAATCACGACGAGTGATATTAAAAACTTTGGCACCGTCCCCTCAACGCAAACATGCCGGCGACGGTGCAGACCGCGCCGATTTTCAGCGTTCAGGGATTAATAGAGAAGGCTGCGATGGTGTACTTAACCGACTATAGATAGTATCGGGGTGGCCGCCGTGGAGGCGGGCGTATCCGACAACCAGTGGCCACATTCGCACCGCATGATAGCTGCCGCGTGTGTCAACGAGTTTCTCTTGGTCAACCGAGATTTCCTCATACATTCGAAGTAAGTATGAGAAAAACGTCTGTTGCTCATTCATCCTACTCCTGTTGTTAGTTACATAGTACTTCGTCCCAGCGCGTAATGGTAGTGCCATAGCGATGTAAAAATTCAGGCACGTCTGTGCTTCTTGCGCACACCCTTTCCCCTGTGATTCCTGCTCAGCAGCTTCACGTTCAAAACGTGACAGAAGCTGTAAGGCTTCGTCTGCCGTCGGCCGAGCACTCGGGTCTGGGTTCATCAACCGATCTAGGAAAAGCGCTCTTTCGGGCTCCGCAGTCCATTCCCGTTCAATCTTACTTGTCTTCACCAGGTATCCCACGGCCCATAAGTCAACCGCAGTCGTGTGGGATCCACCTTCCATAAAAATATCTGAAGCGTGTTCGTCGTGCGTCAAGTGATCGCCGCTGGGATATTTCTGCGGACTTTGAGCTGCATCAGCGAAGTCGATCAAAAACCATTCAACGCGGTCGATATGCTTGATCACGTTAGACCAACGGATGTCTCTGTGCATCCACCCGTTGCGATGGAGGACTACAAGGGCCTCGAGAACGTTCCCGAGCGCGACGAACAGTTCACTCAAGCTGCATGGCTTCATCTCAATGCCGCGGGGCTTAAGTGTCAACCTCAATTGGTCTGAATCCACCGTGACGACTGCATCGGCACAAGGAACCCCATAAGCTTTCAAAGAATCGTAGATCTGCTACACGCGACGATACTCTTCTTGTGTATGAAAGATCTTATCGACGAAAATCGGACTCAACCGCACCTTGACGCCATTGGCGCGATGGATGTCCATGAACTCGGTCCCTGCCGAGGCCGGACAGTTTTGCACAATTGCCGGGAAAAGCAGACACAAATTCAGAAGTGCCAGTACAAGTCGAAAACGTTCCGGCGCATGCTGCAAGTTAAACCCTCCAATAAGGTGGGTTTTAACGTTGCCCGTGACGTCTTGATAGATAGCAAATAATTCTAGCTCGAAGCCCGACGCAGCATAGCCAAACACATACGGCACTCCACCGTAGGACCACACCAGCGTTTTCACGAGGCACAGTGATAGAAGTACGAGGTTCTTTCTCCTCACCACGAAAAACACAGATATGATCCAAAGCAAACAAAAAGTCGGGTCGCTTCAAACCTGACGAGGATTTCCTGCTCGAATCCCGGTTGATGTAAGCACGCCTAAACACAAACCCGAGCACCACACGGATAATTGAATCCCAGAAATAATGAAATGCACTCTCTGTGGCATCCCCATCCATACAGGAACGCAGCGCTAAACACCGAATCTTTTAAAAATTCGCACGGCGAAATGTCGTTTAGCTCGAGCAATTTATCTCGAAGGAGTTGGCCTAGTATCGATGGACTCGACCAAGCTTGAAACACAGACTGCGGTAACCCAATCTTTACAGGGAGAGGTTGTCCGATAAATTCATTTAGATCTCCGCGTGTCGGCAGTAGCGTAAGTTTTGCAACTTCACTATGTTGAAATCTCGACAGCCAGAAGTCCGTCCCATCAGAAATAGGCGCACTACTTGTCCCAGGAGGCAACGCCACCAGCACGTGAACAGGTGTGTTCATCGACTCGACATCCTCTAGCGTGGGTACGAACTTGACGTCCTTCTCCGACAAGCCAACCAAGCTGAGCGGCGCTCCTGCAACGCCCAATAGCTTCAAATCACTCGTGTCACTGACACCGTCCTTCACGTCGTTCTCCGTTAGCCTTATCCCAGCGCCTTTCTTCTTCTTCGCCAGGAAGAGCTGCAGGTTCTTGGCGTCGCATGTGATCGTCGATGCGTTCTTCTCCTTGATCGCGTCCTTCAAGTGCCCCACGGACTTGTTCTCGTCAATGTCCACAGGGAACGCGCTCCCAGCCACACCAACGACGACACAGTACAAAGTAACCATAGTTCCTCGAGCCGCTGATTCTGGAATGAGATAAGGTTGCACGCGGGAAAAGAAGGGGGTATTTGCACACGTTCTCTGGATTTTATCCAGAGTCCCGTGCTAGTCCAGCGATTTCGTTTACCCTGTCATAACCGTTTCGAATCGGATACTCATTTTAAAAGCAGTTTTTAAAAGCAGCTTCCTTTTCACAAATAATATTGTGACGGGGTCACACAGTAGAGGAAGTTGGTTTCCGAGAGTAAGCTTATACAAACTCTCAGTGAGCGGCAGTCCACAGGTCTCTTTTTACTTAAAGGGAGCGAGGTGACCAATTAAAGGGAGGGTTTATGCTGAGTATATTTATAGGTAGGCTAAGCTTGATTTAATTATACAAACAAGTAGTCACCTATAGAAAAGCAATGTCATCCGCCAATGGTTGGCCTCGGACAACCTTGGTACTTTGTACCAAACATCCCGAAGTATGACGTGTCACACTTCATGTAACTAGGGGTGCACTTAGGGCTACGTACCCCGTTACCACTTAGGCTCGGTTTACCGACCAATCAGAATGAAGAAGTGTACGTCACAAAATTTTATTCATTCTCAAAGTCAAAAACATCGACTTGGCAGCGCGAGCGCGGCTGAGGCTCACTTCACAGTTAAAGCCTCGAGCAGCTGTCTGTGCGCTCCTCTTCTTGGTCTCCGCTGTGACTGTTTGTCATGACTCGTGGCACTGCGAAGAGCGGTGCGAAGACACGCTCCAGGGCTGCTGCCGGAACGGCGCAAGCCAAGAGCACTAATTCTCACGGCAAAAGCTTGGCACTCCAGGAGGCTACTAAGGTGGCCTCCGAAGAGATCGGCTCAACGGGTGACGCGACTGTGGCCAAGAGAACAAGCAAGCGCCGCAGTCCGTCGCCCTCGGCCTCCCCAGACAGCCGTCCGAACCCTCGGTTCGCTGAACGTCAGTTCGACTCAGCAGTGAGGACGAAGCCGAGTCCGGAAGTGTGGTGTAGCGGGATCAGCAAAATCTGCGAGATTGCCAGATCCAACTTACCAACTGCGCCCAGACACCGACTAACGGAGGGGGTCCCCCGATGATCCGTGTTCTGCTGAACTTTCCTCACCTTGTGTACCCGTCGGTAGGGCGGGATCTGCTCTCTCGGTAACTTCCGAAGAGTTCAAGTGGTGAAGCTTGAGTGTCTTGGCGAGACGTGGGGATGGGGTGGAGCAGCAGTGGAAAATCTTCACTCTGCGTCCGTGGATGGTTCCGTATCCTAAGCGAATATTCGAGCTTATGGATCCGGGGCCTAGATCGTGGATCTAGCCGTAGGGTTGCCTTGCGGGTGTGTTCCCTTGCCTTTGTGTTGTCCTTTAAGTCGTACTTGCCGCCTCCTGTGACGGGATCTTGAGAGTTGAGAACGTCTAGGGTGTAACCGACCAAGTAGTAAATTCGGTTAACCTGTCGGATCTGCACGAGTAAAGGAAAAGCTCACTAGGTTGTAGGATCTGGCCAATGTATTATCCAGTTATCACTACCAACACTAGATTCGCAATTCCCAACCTTCTCGGAGCTCGTACGGCCAATG